ATCTCCTCCCACATCTCCCCATCATTTCTGCTGTGTGTTATAAAATAACCATCAATAAAAAGATATTTCAGCAGAAAAAAAAAAAAGAAGCCACACTGTGGGACAGGGCAGGCATGGTCAAGATCACCTAAAGGCCCAGGGCCAAATTCAGCCTTCAGATTTTTTGTTAATCCCGAGTGTGTAGTGTTTTAAAGACACTGAGTTTTAAAACTGGGAGCTGCGTAAGCTCTCTTGAAAATTTGGAAGATACTACCAAGTTGACCCGCACCACACAGAGGGCTACAAAGCAAATCTGATGATGCCAAGTGGTGAATGTCCCCTCTCGAGTGGAACTTTTTGTTGTTCTTTTTCAGACAGGGTCTCCCTGTAGCCCCAGAACTCCCTTGGTAGACCAGGCTGACCTTGAACTCACAGAGATTCACCTGCCTCTGCCTCCTGAGTACTAGGATTAAAGGAATGCGCCACCACGCCCAAGTTGAGTGGAACTTTTTTCCCTGGCAAAATCGTTTCATTCACTTAAGTTACCTGTGTCCTGTGCAAATCTTCATACAAAGCATAGGCAAGACCTAATAGAGGAAGGAAAAAAAGAAGAGGAAAATCCAGGGCAGTGTCTTAACACAAAGGGAAAAGGGAAGGGAACAGAGCCGGGGAAACAGAAGTGCACAGCCCACAGGCTGCATACCACCAGTAACTGCCTTCCGTGCTAGCACCCAAACCCCTACCGCAGAAGGGACTAGCAACCAGTGCCATGGGTATTACCCTTCACAGATTCTACTGGGCCAGGCTCAGAGTGAAAGTGAGAAGGAAAGTTAACCTAATAGGTCAATATCTCTGATGAGGGATGGACCAAATGAACATAGTGAAATGGCATTTGAATCTTCAGTATTTCATAAATAAAAGGGTCTGGACCACCCACCCCTGTACCTTTGAGACTCTAGCTACCCATAAAAATCACTATTTAAAACACCTCATCCCAGGGCTGGAGAGATGGCTCAGTGGTTAAGAGCACTAGTTGTTCTTGCAGAAGACCTGGGTTCAAATCCTAGCACCCACATAGCTACTAACAACTGTCTGTAATTCCAGTTCCAGGGGATCAGATGCCTTCTTCTGTCCTCCATGGGCACCACATGACACAGGTGCACTTACATGTAGGTATAACACTCAAATACATAAAATAAAAATAAATAAACAAAACAAAACAAAAACTACCCCATCCCTCAAACAAACACTCTGTGAACAGCTGTGTACTGAACAATCACAGAAAAACAAGACGAGAAGGGTGCTGTGGAAGAGACTGCATTGTTCACACAACTTTCTCATCTTCTGGCTAAGGCCACACTTGTTAGGCCTTCCCCCACCTCACTACTGGATTTTCAATCACTACCCTTATCCTTTCAATCTTTGGCAGTGCCTATTCTCCTTCACTATCTAACATACAACCACTATACATTTCTAGTTTACCTCTCTGAGTATCATGAGGTCTGAGATTTATGGCTTTATTTTCTACTGAAACACCATAGTTAGAACTATGTCTAGTAGATACTCAACAAAGCATCCTGAATGAATGGTTAAGTCCTCAATCACATGCTTAAGACTGCAGGAGTCTGGCTTTCATGAGCACCCATGATTCTCCAGCCACATTTCACAAGTGCTTTCCTTTGTTATGTTAGGACAAGTACACGGTCAGGTTTTCACCCTCATTATATAGTTTATATGGCCCACAGGTGTTTCCAGAATTCCCATGGGCCCTATAGCTACATAAGTCACTGTAAATTAAAATGAAGAATAATCTGTGCAAACATACTTGCACCCATTTACACAATCACAGAAAGAAATGCATGTGCCTGGGTGTGTGATTACCAAGTTGACTGTTCTTCATTTCACTGCTCACACCTCTTGCTTCGGATACCACACGTGTGATTTTTCTCTCAATTATGTTTTACAGCTTATAAAAACACTTTCTTCATTTTGTCCCTTGAAAAACGAAGTAGCCAGATTTTACTAGATGTTTTTATTGAAACAAAACCCAAGGGGAATATATATGTTAAACAATTTAACAGGGCTGAAGAGATATCTGAGAATTGGCTTTCTGATGGAAAGGCAGATAACAAAGTCTCACAGCTCTTAATCTGATAATGGGGCAGGAGACCCCACACATATGAAAAAAGCTCTCCCCCTTGTCCCTTGTATGTCTTTCTGCAAAAAGGAGAGGGAGGGGGAGGGGGAGAGAGAGCGAGAATATCATTAGGGGCTATAAATATATTTATCATTTGTTTCTAACCTCAGTGGGAGATTTTCAGCTAACCTCTGCTGGTGGCTAAGGGGAGGCTGTGGAGGCTCAGGCCATCTTCCTTGTCTATAATGTGGAACTCTTAAGACCTTTAGATCAGCTGTGTTCAACTTTAGGATCTGAAGGATAACTATGCAGAAGCAGCTTAATATTTTAAGGTTTTTATCCTTTAGTAAGCAAGATGATGTTGAATGTTTCTCATATGATGTTCCCTTAATAATGATCAATTCTGGTTTCATCATATGTATGACATCTGTTTATAAAATTAGACTGAAAATTCCTCAAGGGCAGAGCCTCACTTCTCTGCCCCACTTTCAGATGATCTTCTAAGACCAGCTCGTAGGATGCTTATATTATCGTTCTTTGCTATTTTTGGTGAGGCAAATGTGAATTCAGTTGCAAATCAGTATCTATTAAGACTCATAATCAAAGCGACTCCAAATATTGTTACTGTACTGTCTGCCACTTTTTACTGAGAGGGGTGTGCTTGTTTTGCACTAAGAAAAGCCTATGAAACGCTGTCCAGACAGAGTTGCAACACACATCAGCCAAGGGAAGGAAACTAATGCACATGGGTTTCTGCACACATTTTCTTCCCATGCAAGACTTTTGGTGTCCCAGGCACAAACACAGTAGGCCAAAGGAAATCAAAGGGGTAGGGAAAAGAAGTGTAGATGGCTCTGGTGACAATTCCTAAGCCCAATGACAGTGAAGAAACTAGAAAATTGATATGGTGACATGGGACTCAAGCCAAGGGAAAGGGATGAGGAGGAAGGGGCCAGAGAAATGAGAAGCAATCTGGATGCCTGAGGAGCTGTGCCCAACCATGGGTGTGTCGCCATATGGTGATGCTTGGATACCCATGCAGTGTCAGCCCTTGTAAGTTACTCACTTTGTTTAGAAAGAACCACATCTGAGAAAAAGTTAACCTGAGGTTATGACACAGAGTTGCAAAAGAAAACCCAGACTAACTCTGTTTTCAACTATTTGCTTTTATCCACAACTATGGAAATTGATTTTTAGTGCAGTCTTCATTAAAACAATTTTTTAAAACTTCAAGTCAAATGAGGGGCATATGCTTATATCGTTTTAAAAGAATTTATTGAGGGTGTTCACCTTGCTGAAATAATTGATATTTTCCTTTTATTGTATGTTTAAAAGTAATGAAATATTAGAACTTTCACATTAACTGCTTGTGGTTATTCTTACTGTTCAGATATGCTTCACCTTCTGATTCTCAAGGCCTGTAGAGCATCGCTAATGTAAACCCCCTGTTGCAAATGACCAAGAACAAAGCAATCTTGGAAAAAGCAGTGGTTGGCTTGTCATCTTCGACACGCTATAAATCCATCTTGTTTCCAGAAAAATATGATTAAGTTAATAACTATTGACTAATGCACTGTTGAGTTTGAAAAGAGACCACAAAATTTAAAACACCAGTTACGTTTTGTAGGCAAATAAGACATATTTTTGGCACTATGAAAATTCTTAGTGCAGGCTATACATTTCACTTGTGTTATTTTTCAGTTCAAATGGAGTAAACTGACTGCATCACAGACTTGCAATGACAGGGACCAAAGTTCTTCATTTCTGTTCCATAATGCACGTTTATACCTCAAAACAAAGCCTAACGAGCTTTGAGCTGGGGAGGAACGCTATATACCTGTAAATAATCCAAGCAACATTTACACTGTTCCCATAAAAGCACAATTTATGTCCCTGTAGCAAAGAGAAACACAGTGTACATCATTTTCAGATCATCTTCATGCAGAAAAAATTCATTAGTCAGCTATAATAGTTGAGCTGTAAAGGAAAATAATGTTCTTCTGAATCCATTTGCATGGCAATGTGTGTGTGTCTGGCTGTTGGAAGCGACAGAATAAACCTCCACCTAATGCTACAAAATGTGAACAGTCTTCTTAAAATTCAGTCTATATTCTCTCCAGTGACGGCTTTTACAATCTTCTCATATTCATGGACCACTTTAACCCAGAAATTAGTCTCCCCTGATTATTTTGCCTAAGAGAGTTGACAATATTTCATTCTGCCCAAAAGCTCCTTTGAACACAAACCGGTGATAAGGGGAAAACCCACTGGGCAACTATTCATGCGTGAGCCCCCGGAACCCTTGCCAACTGCCAAATTAGTAAATGGCTCTTCTAAACATAAAAGGTAGGAAATGGGAAACCACACTCTGGAGTAAATTCGAGTTGTACTTTCACTGGTGTTTTAATAATTGGGTCAGCCCCGGCACTGCCCACACTGCCTGACCTCTGGTTAGAATCTATTTCACCTCCACAGAGTCCCAGTGAAACGATAAAGTAGTATTGAAAATGACAGACACACCCGGCGTGTTTGCCAGAAATAAAGAATTCAGACCATTCCAGAAACACCTGGTCTTTGGAAAGACCGCCCCCCGCCCCCCAATATAACGCAGATCAAGCGGGGCTGGGCACAAGGAAATGTCTGGGATTAAACCCTGCTGCAGGACAGGATGACCAGATAGATCCCTTTTGTAGGGAGTCATATCACAGCCTTAAAACTTGCAGAGCCCCAGCGGCCCTACAGCACCCGCTGCTCCCAGCGCCCCTGGTCCCCCAGAGTCACACAGGTGGCCTAAGAAACGATCTAAAGCGACAAGCCCAATTCCAGGTTGCACCTCCCAGGACCCCATCCCTTCAGTTTCCGAAGCCCGGGAACTCTCACCCACCTCTGCGCCTTGCCCTCGGGAGCAGTTGCCAGGTCCCTTAGCGGAACAAAGAAAGCAGAAGCGCCCGGAGAGGGTGGGTGCGGGATCTGAAGCCGCTGGAGTTTTACCTTGCGGTGCCCGGGAGCCTGCCGCGGTCCAGACAGAGGCGCGGGCACTACCCGCGCGCTCCGCGCCTCCTCCGGCAAGTCAGCTGTCGCCCCGCATCTGGCTCCGCGTCCAGTCACCCTGCGCTCGCAACGCTGAGGCGGGCGAGGCCGTCCGGGTCACCTGCGGCGCGGCCGAGCCCCGCCGAGCGCCCTCGGGCTGCTCCGCCCCTTCCCACCCGCACCCAGCCGGGGCCAGTGACTCAGCCCCAGCATCCGCAGCGCACGGGCGCGTCCCGGCGGGAGGCGGCGCGAGGCGACCGGACCCTGGTACCCGCCCCAGCACGTGTCTCGTCGGTCCGCGTCGCACTCGGTCTCTCCGCCCGGTCCGCCCGGTCGGCTATCGGCCGAAGTGGGGACTGGCACCACCCCAGAGGGAAGCCGCTCCGCCCTTCCTGCCTCCCGCGCCTGCCCCGCGGGGGTCGCGCTTCCTCCTGCCCCGCCCCGCCCCGCCCGCGACAAGGTGAAACTTTGTAGGTGGCGAAGTTTTCTTCGCCCCGGCTGTGCGCTTTCTCCTCCTCCCAGCTCAGGCTGTCCGCAGCGGGCGCGGCGGGAGATCAGCGGCACCGCATCTCCCCCTCCTGGTGCTCCAGTGGCCAATGTCTCCCCTCCGCGCACCTCGGCGCCCGCGGTCGGCAGAGCCAGGCGTTGTCTCTCCCACGCCCGAGGTTCGGCCTGGCACTCACCCGCGTGGACAGAGAGCTGGGCACGCCTAGGAAAGGGGTCACTGTCAGAGACAGTGGTGGGATTGCTTGGACAGATGACCCCTACTATAATAATTTGGATTCCTGGAGTAAGAACAACAAGAGTTTAACCCCTGCTAGGCTTCAGTTTAACTTTTTAATTATTTTAATGAAAACCGGGTGATTAAATAGACAAACTAGCAATAAGCACACAAAACCGACACGCAAGTTTAATTCTCGAATATTAAAGCTCAGATTTCTAAAAAGAGTTTGGGGCTTCAGTAAACTCATTAGGATTCATGTGTTAGGATCTTTTTTTTTTTTTTTAAATTTATCAAATATAAAAGCTAACATTTACCTACAAGAGCACATAAAAGTAATAGGATTGACTTTTAGAACCTGACAACTCTCACAATGGCTTGTTCACGGAATGGAAATGTACGAGAGGAGGGTTTGTTAGTCACGGAGAGTCATTGGACAATCAGTTTCTGTGCAGGTTCCGGTAACTCCTACTACAGAATGAAGCCTAGGAAAACAACAAATCCTCCTGGTCTCCTGCGGCTTCCCTATTGCACTTATTCCTTATCGTGTGCCCAGCACATTACCAGAGAGCTGCTTACCTCTCTATTCCTCAATTTTATGGGACGGGAAAGTTCCCATTGTATTTTTGGAGGCCTACTTGGAACCATTTAGCAGATGGAAAAAGCAGCCCCTAAGAGTTCCTGAGGGATACACATCTAGTAAAAAGGGGCAGAGCTAGAACCCAGGTCTCAAATCTCACTTAGGGGTCCACACTATGTCCACAGGCAAACCTAAATAAACATGGCCCTAACCAAAGATTTCTGACTCCATATGGCATAATCTGAAAGACCTCAGCATACAGGAAAACCCTGGTGCTCCTGTTTGTGGGGTACTGGGTCTGTTAAAAATCAGCTCAAATAGCTTTAAATTTTGTAACATTTTTCAATAAAAGGTGAGTAAATGAATTTACACACACACACACACATACAGAGAGAGAGAGAGAGAGAGAGAGAGAGAGAGAGAGAGAGAGAGAGAGAGAGCCCTAAGTTGTCTAAATGAATGATTAGAGTGCTGTTTCTATTTCCTGGTTTCCATAGCAATATGTTAACTGGATTTTTTACATCACATGTAGTTAGTTGCCTTAACAGGTTTTCTGAGTTTGAGTGCCATGATAAAAATAGAAAAAAATTACAATTAAAGTTGTATAAAGACCCAGAAGTCATTACAAACGAAAATAGATTATAAATGTAAACAATCTAAGTTTTTAGTACCAAACTTTCCCAGTTTCTGCTTAATGACAAATTTCAAAAATCAAAAAACTATTTTGATTTATTAACCACAAGCTAGGAGATAGCAGCTTATAAAAGCAACCAGGAATAATAACTAAGAGAAAGAATGTGAACATTGTAGAACTTTTCCACACTACTGGAGTGGTTTGATCAGGCAAAGCATTGGAGATAATGTCTCATCTTTGGAAATGGATGGAAGTTGATAACTTTAAAAAGATGGCAGGACTTTGGCAATTCCATCCTGGTTGGGCAGCAAACTTTCGTTGCTGCTGTTGGACTTTCCTAGGGTCTGTGGCATGGGTGACACACTGTATGATGAAGTTCTTCTGGTATTTTCCTAACCAGACCAAACCACTGTGGCCAGTATCGTTGGCTGGCTAAGCTAGCACCTGTTCCCAAACAGATTTTCCTTTCCCTGCCTTAACCTCTTCAGGCTGGAAAAAAAAAAAAAAAAAAAAAAAAATCTCCCCAGACTCCTTTGCAGCCCACCATGGCCAGGTGATATTCAGGCAATGGGGAAATGAAATCTGATGGGCCCTTTGGAGAGGGGTTTGGTTTCCTGACTAAAGGTCAAAAGCTGATGTATCTCAGTGTCTACAAAACATGTGAGCAAAACGCTTGAGCTAGCCTTGTCCACATACTTGTGGACAACACATAGAGCTGAACCGTGAAGACCTCATCTATTAATCTTGAGTTGGGCCTAATGGTGGCTCTAGTCAGGGAGACAGGAACCATCATTTCCTGCTTTAAATATGCGACATCTTTCTGTTCTCCTTTCACACATTAAAATTTGGATCTTTGAAGATATCCTCAAGTTCATTACATGGTGTTGATTTTAAAATAAAAATGAAAGTGATTTTCTTAGAATAGGGATTTACTGCTCGCAACTTGTGAACAGGGCTCATAGACATACACAGGCTCATAGAAAGTTTTTTGCAAACTCGAATCATGGTAGGAAAACCCTGAGTTCTGCAGTTTGTCACTGACCTACCATCATCTCCTCTATGGCATCCAGGCCCTTGTACTTGGAGCCAACCTCTCCGGTAGGTGTTGGCTTCTGTGGCCCAGGTCTTCCTTCTCTTTATGTTTTGTGCCTCCTTCCCTGTTGCCTGTTACTGTGACTCGAAAAAATGCTTACACGAAAACCAACAGAAGATTTAGACGACAATTCTTTATGTTATTTCTGTGAACAAATAAAATTTGAGAATGTAGGATTCTTGTTACCCTTTTGGACCTATATTTTGCACATTAAAAATACTGAAAATTCTGAAAATTTGTGTGGAAAACCAAAAGAGAACAAAACAAAAAGAACCCTTCTTCATGTCCCTACCATCTCCCAAACTTAGTTGACCACAAAATGCTTTTTTCCCTCCCCTCCTAATATCTTCAGTGGTTTTCTGGAAAATTAGTTTTCTGGAAAACACATTTTGGGAAACCTAACTTTAAAGAAAAGGCAATGCTAGGCCAGCAGAGGAATGGTCCCACCTTAAGTTATGGCTAAAGGTGAGAACTGGGCACTTTCAATAAGAACAGCCTTTATGTTGCTTTATATTGATGGTTTACTGATGTCTGCACCTCTAAAAATATTCTATGTTAAGTCTAAGGATATGACCGAGCCTGTTCAGTACTGAAAAGATGGATTGACTACCAGCTGCAAGAATCATAACTGTAATGAGAAGACAGCAAATTGTAGGCAGAGGAATTAAAAGTGACAGTTCCCAACAAGGTGCTGTGATTTTGTTAATGATTTGTCAATTTTAACATACAAATTTTCCCTCTGCCTAAAATTCAAGCATTCCTAAATGTCTACAAAGTATGTATCATATATTTGGCCTTTTTAAAATGTCATCATAAACTCCAGACCATGCATCATCATTCTTGTTTTGCATTGAGGAAATTGAGCCTCACAGAGATCAGTAACTTATCGTTCAAGGCTGCCTATTTCCACAACACTTCCCATTGTAATGAATAGAAACAGTGATGACTTTATGCTGAGTAATGCAGTCATTGAGCTTGGAATAGCAGACCTAAGATTGCCTGTTTCGTTCCTTCCTTCTCTCTCCACAGAATCAGCCACAACTCAGGGCATGACCCTTCCTCCCTTCCTCTGCTTGCCTGACCTTACAGGACTGATGTTGCAGTGAAGAACACTGGCTCCTCTGTGCTGTACCTCTGAAAAAACAAAACAAAACAAAAAATACTTCACAGGCTGGGACAAAGGTCCTGGGCAGTCAGGGAGGTCTAGGAGTTGGGGTGTTTGTACACAGAGCAGAGACTTCTTGAGTGTGAAAAGAACAGGAACATTCTTTCTTCCATTCTTGTGTTTCCACAACAACTGAGCTCTGGCTGTCTTGGTTTATTTTCTGTTATTGTGTCAAAAATACCCAAGGCTTGGTACTTTATAAAGAAGAGAGATTTCCTCAAAATTTGGGGAGCTAAAATTCCAAGATTGGGTGGTACCAATTGTTTAGCCTCTTGAAAAAGTCTCATAGGCTGTATCACAATATGGCATTGAAATCCACAGGGATCAGACATCACGTAGAAGGTACTGTGGATGTGTACACTTGGTTTCACTCTCACTAGAATTAAATCACTTCATAACACCAGCGTTAATCTCTTCAGAGAGTGATGCCCCCAGTATCTAAGTTCCTTGCACAAGATGCCATTTCCTGAAGGTTCCACTAGTTCAGCACCACCTATACTGAAGACCAAGTTTCCAGTTTATGGATCTTTGAGTGACAAACCAAATCTAAACCACAGAGAAACTCAGGGAAGGTTGGAGAGAAGGAAGTACCGGACAGCAGAGTAAGGCATCCTGAGGAGAATGTTTGAGAGGTGCCCTCTTAGAAGGAAGGGAATGAAGGCCAAAACTTTTGAAAAGCCCTGGAATGAGGCTCCCCAAGTCCTTTCTTCTATCAATTCCTCCCACCCCAAAGCCACATTAATTCATTTTTCTTTTATTAGTCTGTCTTCTTGTGGAAAATTTGGTGAAATTGTTTCAAAAAAGACTGTTTTCATTTTTATTCAGTGTAGTACCAATTAGCTTACCTGATTTAAACCTCAGTACTCATGCCTGGTACTGTACAGCTGGACAAGAACCCATGGCTGAGGGGTTCATAGGCCTTACTACTATTATTTTGCTAAATGGATATAGTATCAAACTGCCTTCTATAGGTAGCTGTATACCCACAGATTAGTGCAGCTCTCAGTCCTCATCAGAGAGGCCTTTTGTAATGGACGATGGTCAGAGATTCATACCTGGTCAAAGTGTAGAGAATAAGTGTTTGTAGGCAGCTCTGGCTCAGGCATAAACTGGATATTAATATTACATCCTCTCTCCTCAAGCACAGGG